TACCAAACAATTAATGTCTGCATCTCAAGATAACTTTACAAAAATATTGTTGAATTCCTAGAGTATTTATATAAAAAAATTGAGATTTTTATCATTACTTTTCATATATTTATGTTAGAGAGTACAAATTTAAAAAATATTACTACTTATTTAAATAACTTTTGATCCAGATGGTCAATTGTTTCTATTTTTTTTGTATTATTATTAAATGAAATTTAGAGTAATCTGTAATTTTTTCAAGTAGTTCTAAACATATTGCATTTGCCTTACAACCTCCTTAAGGTGGATTTTTACTAATTTAAAATTTAAATAAATATTTCGGTGTAAATTTTTGTAAGGAAAAGATTGCAAAGATTGCAATCTTTCTAAAGCTTCATAATTTTTGCCTGGTTACCCCCCTCCCCCCCTAAAAATTATGCGTATGTATAACGAATATCATTATCTTAAAATAATAAAAGTTTTAAATAAATTTTAAGAAAAGTCATTTTTAAGTAATGTGTTTGCGATACAACTACCTAAAACTGAAAATTAAATTCAGTTCAATTTGCAGAATATGTATATATATTCACACTAGAATTTTTAAAGACAGCTTTATCATTTAATATCTTCATTTCGTAGTTATGTACTTACAGACTAAAAAAATACTTTATTAAATAGAATAAACATTATTCCGAAGAATAAACAAAACAAAGAGCAGTCTTGTAGAAATATGTACATTATATTACGAACATTAGTTATTAATAAGAATTTTTAAAGAAAGCTAATAAATAAAACGAATATGAAATTTGAATGAAATTTACTTGCCTGACTCAGAATTGTAATGGAATACACATGATTAATAATATCTGTTAGTGCTGTTAACGTGTTGATTTCTCTATAAAATCAATTCAGACAATTATAATTTTATATAATAACTTATTATTATTAAATGAAGTATATCTATATTTATAAAAAACAGCTCTCACTTTGGTTTTATTTTCCCCAAGTTCCCTAATATCTTCCGAAGTATGTTGTAGTTATTAGCATGCTTACTGACAACTGAATGAAAAATGTTTATAGAAGAACGAATAACCACAACATCTTCCCTTTCATTTTGTGTAAATCGATTCAAAAATAGAGCTGGCAGATATCCTGTAAGTATCCAATCAGCTTCACAACAAGCTAAAAATGGTAACAGATCGTGGTCAGGTTTTATGAACCATAAATCCTTTGCCTTGATCCACATGGAATAATCAGCATGATAGCATAATATGAAACCTCTGCAATATGTCCAGTGCTTCCACTCTGATGAAACTCTAGGGTTTTTTTAAAAAAGAATAAAAATACATAGTACATAGCAGTACATACATTAAAAAATGTTGCTTATATATCTTAACAGACAATTTGTTAAGGCGTGAATCACAAATATTAGGTGTACAAAAAAGTTCCGAGCTTTTTTTGTAAAATTCAATCTTTATTCAAAAAGAAACGAAAAAATATTAATCAGCGAAATATTCTCCGTTTGCATCAACGACCTTTTGCCATATTTCGGGTAGCTTGCAAATTCCTTGACGATAGAAACACACCGGCTTCGAAGCGATAAAGTCATCAATGAATTTTTGTATCTCTTCTAATCTCACGAAATGTGTATCAGCCAAATGATGCTGCAGTGACCGGAATAGGTAGTAATCGGAATGCGCCATATCTGGGCTATACGCCGCGTGCGGAAGAAGTTCCCAGCCTAACGCAAAGATATGGTCCTGAGTCGCTTTCGCAATATGTGGTCGAGCATTGTCATGAAGCATGATCACTTTACGACGTCCTTGGCCAGTAAATGGCCTCTTTTCTTCTAATGTATCGCTCAAATTGGTCAAATGTTGTTGGTAGCGGTCTGCCGCGATTGTTTCACCCGGTTGTAACAACTCGTAGTACAACACACCTTTCCAATCCCACCAGATACAGAGCAAAACCTTCTTGGCTTTGGCGTCGATGTCGAAGGTTGACCAGGATCAACCCATGATTTTCTACGTTTAGGGTTATCATAAAGAATCCACTTTTCATCGCCTATAATGATTTTGTACAGAAAATCTGTTTTCCGGAACTTTGAAAGCAAAGTGAGTGCAGTGTCATGCCGTCGATTTTTGTTTTCTTCGGACAATTAATGCGGAACCCATCTGCCTTCTTTCTGAACTTTTCCCATCGTATGTAATCGTACGGAAATGGCTTGCTGCGAAACGCCAAGCTGTTCTGCAAGCTCCTTTTCAGTTTGCGCAGAGTTTATATTGTTATTTCGGTTGTATGAAATCTAAAGCTCAGAACTTTTTTGTACATCTAATAGTTTCGATTACCCACAGAACCTCGCAGCAACATTGTTGTAACACGTTCAACATTACAACAATATTACTAGTACGTTTATACAGTGTTAATGCAATATTGCTGGCTTACTTTGTGCTGTATGGGTAAAGATCTTTTATATTTATAAAATAGTATTACGGTTCTATTTCAGGATTCTGAAGATGATCTCCTAACGTATCTTCGGCCAACCTTGCGCACTGATAATGTTTGAGCGTACATGACCATTTTAATATTTCTTGTTTGAAAGATTCAGTAAAGTCATTTTCCTTTAGGTGTTTTTTAATTAGTATCGTCCATAATGGCTTATCCAATAATTCTCTAAATTTTGCCTAAATTACGTAAATTTTATGTTTATTCATTATAATATGGTACGTTATCCTAGATAGCGCAGATAATCGTTACGAATTCAAAAAGGATTCACCTTTCTACATTTTTTCTATAATAATCTATTCGAAATAAATTCGAAAAAAATCGATTATCCGCAAGCAGTACGGCCGATAAATAGAATTAAGTAGCGAAATACAATTCTTATATATAAAAACCATATAGAGTAGGAAAGAAGCAAAATTATGAAACTTTTAACCCAATATATTCGAGTGAAATGAATTTTTGAATGCGAGTTTCCAAAACCAAGTTTCTATGATGAAAGTAAGCGTTTCGATATACATCAAGAAGTATATCGATCATATAACTTATTCTTAGGGCGGAAACGTGAAAAGTGAACATTTTTTGTATGTGTGTCCATATGTATATATATACATATATACGTACAAATTTTCACTTTTGAAGTTTCCACCCTAGGAAAATGGTTTCACGTTCCCGCTCTAGAGAGAAAGTTAGATAATGGGTATCCTGTCCTAAAAATCTGTAGCGTACTTCGTAGCATGATTCATACTTTCAGGATTGGTAGTCTTGTAATCGATAAAGGATTGAAATGGATTCAGATTTTCAGAAATATGCATTCGCGAACGTTAAAACGAATCCTTTTCAATCAGGAATGCATTTTTATTTGTTTATAAGAATTGCATGAAAAAAGCACATTTTTGTGCCTTCCTATCTAATAATAATACCAGCTTTTTTTGTGCATCGTGAATACTGTTTAATTCAAAATTCTGAATTGAAAATTCAATCCTTTAATACGAATGTATTCAAATGAATTTAATTGAATCCAACTGAATTTGTATTGAATCCAATTTAATCCAAAAAGAGATTTTCTTTATTTAAAACACGCATTAGGATACATAAAATTTCAATCCATTTTAATCCTTTCTTGTTTACTGGGAATGCATATCTGAACTCGACGTAAATGAGATATATTTTGTTAATAGATTTTTGTGTAATTCTAGTAAATATTAATTTCAGGGACATAATATTCTCGAGAGTTATGTAATTGTGTTTCTTTAGAGTACTTTCTAAAAACTATTTCAACTTTAGAGTGAGAGTGCGAATTCTTATAGACTATAACTTTTATATACCTAAAAAGAAGCAGAGAATTAGCGTTTTTAACTAAAAAATGGGACGTATGAACGCTTTTCATAATTAGGCATTTAAAAAAATTATTTTTTTCAATTTTCTGTGCTCTCTCTGCATGATATGTGTACACGTCTTAATATTTTTTAAACAATTAGTATCTTGAAGTTAATAGATACGCATATAACAAATTGTTTAACGTGCACAATACTAACAAAAACAGAATTATTTTTTTTAAATTTCTCATATTTAATTTCAAAATAAAACCAACAAATTGCCGTCTGATCCCTTAAGTAAGCAGTTTATTTTTACAAAATTATTTACCAGTTATCGATATAAAAGCATAATTTATGTTTAATATTTATTAAAGATAATCTACTGTTCATTATCCTAATATTAATTGAAAAAATTTGATATCCAAAAAATGCAATATTTAGAACATAAAAGCGTGACAATACTTTGTTCTTCCATTACTTATTTCTTTTTGCCTCATTTCATTTCAAATTGAGGTAATAAATAAACGTGATTGAATCATTTTATTAACATAATCATGCTACAATCCAAAATTGCTCAACAGTTATTGATATAAAAAGTAAAAACAATATGTTTTCGCACTTTTGCTAGTAACTGATGGCCGGTCTCGCGCTAACAAAACGCTGCGCGTGCTCTTATCGCGAGACACTACTATATCACTAAATACGTACTGATCGTTATACCTTAATATCGTCGATGAACTTAATTTCGTCTTTTGAAAACGGAAATATAGTGGACATATATTCGAACACTTTAATCATTGGATACCATACTACATAATTTGTCTCTTGTGATAAGAATTGCGTGAGGTTCCAAAATATAGATACGTCGAGCTGATGTTCCATCATCAAATGAAACGCATCATCAATGATTTTAGCACGATTGATGACACTAATTCCTTCATATTCTCCAGCTGTTGAATTTAAATAATTTGCAATTGCGTTCCAGCCTTTTAAATTATATTTGACACGATAATATCCTATTCATGGAAAAAAATGTTATCGTATGTATTATAAAGTTTTATCGTACTGTATTATGTGGATTTTATGGGTTCGATAATAAGAGAAATACTATTTTCATTTTTTTTCTTCTTTCTTATGTTAAGGGGATCCTGAAGTGTGAATCTGTTCTATCAATTTCTTTAAATAAGTACTTTTCTAACTGCCGTTACGGATTAGAAAATACGTCTCCATAATTAAAGTATAAACGATAATGTAGCCCAAATCGGTCGATCATACGCCATAAACGAAAAAATGTTAGGAAATTACAGTTTTGTTAGCGACTTTTAACATCGACTCGAAATAATATTCGCTTTATATACGTGTTTTATACTTCGTACCTATAAAACAATCTTGATTCGGACTAGAGATTACATGAACACTCAAAGTTGAGTACTTAGTATTAGGTTTAGGTACATAATACGAAAGATTAGTTAGTTAGAAAATTCCCAGATAGCTAAGTCTGTATAAAACAGATTTTTTAAATGTCTCCTACATACTATGCCAACAAAATATCAACAGAATTGTTATAAAATTAGATGTATATAATACAGTTGACGACTGCTGGAAGAAATGTAACAAAATCTGCAAGCAGGAGTAAATGGCAGAGACTGGAGAAAGAAACAGCAGATTTACGGTTTAATCTGACAGTGTATTATCTATAGAAACCAAGCAGGTCCTTTCGACGTCACCTAGAACTAGACTGTCAGAAGATCCTACTCTGACACAATTTGACAGCAGATTGTTGACAGAAACGCAGCAGATTCTGCTGACATCTGACGTGTCACAGCAGGATCTGCGTGGTTTTGGTGACAGTCTACGGTCATATACTGTCTACAGGATCTGCTCAGTTTCTGCGAACAATTTGCTTTCACTTAATAGGTCTGTTTTCTGTGGCTGAACTAGTGTACACTTTTGGAACTTAAAGTGAGAAAGATATACGTTTGATATTTGTTTAAAGCGAGAAAGAGAGTTCTAGAACAGTCTAGTGCAGGAACAGAAAACAGACCATATGTCGACAGGCGATGTTAACAAAACACAAGCTTTATGTGGACGCAGTTGGTGGTAGACTGCCGTCATTTTCTGCTCGAACCTGCTGACTGTCTGCTAGAAGACTGCAGACATTTTGCTATCTGGGTTTTTACGTATGTGTGTGTGACATTCATGTAGTAATATATAAAGATATATTGACGTGTCGTATTTTATCGATACAAGAGCGATCACATCGGAGTTCAGGCTTTATTTTAGGATCCCTTTAACCCTTTGTTAACAAAAATTCGAAGATTTGTTAAAAAAAATTCAACATTTTTCTATGGAAATAAATTTTTGCGAATTATTGCAATTCTATGTTTTTTAGGTTGCTGATTATAAAGCTGATGTTGGATTTAAAAAATTTGAAATAATAGATCCAACATGTCCTCCACATGCATCAATTTATCTGAATAAATATAAATCAAATTCACGATATAGAAGGATTTTAAACTGTAAACAGAAAGGTAAAGGCCTAAACTTTAACATCAGAACTTCCCAAAGCTGATGTAATAATACACTAATAATTGGTTTATGCATTAAGTATAACTTTATGAATATATGTACATATATATATACTGCCGTAAATACGTTTTAGGAGGAATTGGGGAGTTTCAACCTCTTCTTTCTTGAAAACTTTAAGCAACAGACAATTTTTAAGGTCATACGTATTCAGCACAACCTATTCGCTAAAGAACGACCTTTCATCACTATAATAGGCGCGAACTCGGGCCTTACCGCGCTGGATGAGGCGCGCCTTCACGCCTATTGTATTACACTATGCTACAAATTTCTCATACTTTTATTCCTATCCTGTCGCGCGCTTGCATTTGGCGGTATAGACTCGACGAATTTATCTATTTTCGTAAGTTAATAATCATCGCGGAAATCAATTGTTAACCATCGCGAAAATTGTAAAATGGTAGAGAACTTTTCTTCTCAGTTTAGTTTGTTTTGTCCCTAGGCGAAAGATTTATCGTTATTTTTCAAATATCCTGTATAAATGTGTGTATATGTATGTATAGGAAAGTAGAAAGGGAGATACTTTTGCAAATAATTATATACCATAAATTCTAAGCCTTTAAGACATATTTACCTGCTCGCTGTATGTTGACTATACAATCATATGCCCAATCAATTTGTTGTACATATAAAGTAACAGACGGTGAATCTGGTGTTAAACATGTTGTCAAATTTTCCATGAATGTTTCTGCGATCCGTAATTTATAATTTTTTAAATTTATAAGTATCCACCATCTTCCCTGACCGATTGGATTATACTTCTGCGACAATCTTCCCGTGTAAGAATCAGCTTCTGCTTGCTCGAAGGTTACAATTTGATAATGCCTGTACGTTATCCAAGTTAAGAACTTATTTGATGGTATATAACATTTAAATGCTTCTACAGGTTCTTGCATGGACCAGAAATCAAAAGAAACCATTGCGCTAAAAGTACTAAATTAAAAAATTTTTTGTCAATGACCAAAATAATGTGTTGTGTACAACGTAAATATGTACTCATTACTTAAGATTACATATTAACTTGTACATATAGATGGAATTCTGTAATATATTATATTTCAATTTTCTATTTCAGGTACATTACAAGTCCTATTATATATTACTATTGGTAATACAATTTGTAAAAATTCAGTTTAATTTCAACACTTTAAGTAGGTAATTTTATACAATAGTTTATTAAGGAATGACACAAAAAATTGTATAAAGTTATAACGAATTTAATGAATTAAACAGATGAAGGAAAATGAAGGATAGTTGAAAAACGAAAAAGTTACGAACATTATGTGATTACTGATTGAAAAGAAAGATATGTACCTATAAATGTGAAATCAAGAGATATTCAGAAAAATTGAACCATTACGAAAAGTTACGAACAACTTTATAAAATTACAATAACTGTTAAATTTATTATATAAGTATAATATACGACGAAATTATAGTTGACATATTTACTCACTATCTGTTTACATATGTACGAACATTCTTTCGAAACACTTTATCGGTAATTGCACTTTGGAGCATGCGTAAAGCAATTAGTGCTGTAATGGTACATATATATTAATCATTTACAAATTGAACCTTTTGAACAAAATTTGTTTATCTAAGTTTTTTTCTTTAATTTTTTAAATAATATTCGTATGTACAAATATTTAATAAAATTTTTATTTATTAACCTTTAACTATTCTTACCTTTTAAATAACGAGGAAAACTGAAAAGTGAATCAATTTCCAACAGGTTGGTGATTTGAGGATTCATGTCAAAGTAAGAACCCAAATGAAGAGATTCGTATTGATTCTGCACTATGAGGAAATCCATGATTGTAGAATCATTAAAGATCTAAAAGCAATGTTTCTTAATTACACAAAATGTAAATGTGAAAGTCTATCCTTATTGGGATGGTGTAGCATGTGCTGCTGCTTAATGTTGTGTGCACATGTATGCGCATGCTTGTTAAAATTATTTTACGAAGTTCATAATTCAGTTTAGAAATAAAAAATAAGTGTAATTCTTAAAATAAAACACCATACAATTTTAAAAGTTTAAACGATTTAAATTGAAAAATTTTTAACATTTAATTGAAAAGACTTTTACGACTCATTTTACATTGTTATTATCATTCCAGTTTAAATATTTTAATTTGTCTAAATATTTTATTGCTATAAGCATCTTCTTAAAAAAGAAAAAAATATACGCTTAGTGCATAAAAAAGATACCAAATATTACATTCCTTTTAATAAAAGACGGATACGAAATAAATGCAATTAGCCGAGTATTTCATAACACAAGACACATAAAATAATTGAAAGTGACTAAACTGGACAAATGGATTATAGTGAAGAAAAAATTTGGCGTGCCCGGGTCACATTAATTACACTTGTATAAATGTATTATCTCATCACAATATTCTTATTATAAATTAAAATATAAAAATAATATTTACATTTGTATATAAGTGTAATTTATATGTATGTATATGTATATATATATAGTGACTAGTTTGTGGGACATGAAAATATACTCACAAATAACAGACGTGATATAAACTATGGAGAAATAATATGTATAAATAATATTGATAATATTTAGATGTAGAAACATTATAGATAACGAATTTCCAAAATTAATAAGTAATTTTAATATATATCTCTTGTTTGTTGAATTATTGTTTTCATGTATTGTGTATGTCTGTAGAATATTGTATGTTATAACTTTTTTATTAATTCGTATTGTAAATAATTGCCGTACTATAAAGACACATTAGTCATAGAATATTTTTATCCAACCTGAGCACGGCAAATTTTCTTCACTACAATTTAGTCAACATTTTAGTCACTTTCAAACTATCTGTATGGCTTGCGTTATGAAATACTTAGCTAATTTATTTCGTATTCGTATTTTTTATGAAAAAGAATGTAATATTTGATACCTTTTCTATGCACTTGGCGTACAGTTTTCCTTCTTTTAAGAAATTTTTCGCATGTACTGTAAAAAAAGATAGTAAGTGTGTCAGACTTAAATGTTAAAGAATAAAAATGATAGATATACCAAATTAAATTAAATTTATTATATTACGATGTTAATAAATGTAAGAACCTTAACGATGGTTTCTTCTCCAAACAAAGTAGCAAGACCGTCGTGTAACCAGAATTGAGTCCACCAATTATAACTGAATACGTTACTAAACCATTGATATGCTATTTTGGATGCTATTAAACGTGCGACTTCTATTTGGTGCATAATTGAATCTGATTGTTCATCACATATGAGATTGGCTTCTCTAAAAATTATACCAATTGTTTTAACGTGTAAAAATTGTTATTTATTTTTTGGTTGATGAAACATTAATTTCTTTACAGATTTAAATTTAATTTGTTTATACTGATGCGTATAAAACGATTAATGTTTTTTTAAATTTTACGTAATATTTTAATGGTAAATTAGGACATTAAAAAATGATTATGCGTGTAGTTTTATTTTTTAAATTTATCTTAATTTGATACATGTAATATTTTTTAAAATATCATCTTTCTAATTAATTTATATATATATGTATATAGAATATTGAATTATGATTTTGGTGACTCTTAATAAAGCACAACAGGTCACATTTGATATACAAGGTGATTCGTATAAAGTGGCAGGCACAATTATCAATGAAATTTATAAAGACAAATGAAAAAATATTATATAAGTAGATTTTTAGCACGGAGAAACAGATTATATAGATAAAATCATTAATTTGTGCAAGTTTTGAAGTCGTTTCATGATTATCTCTACTTTTTCAATAAAAGTATGTTTCTTTATTAATTATTTGATTTTTTAAAATTATTTTAGATATAAATCTATTATGAGGAATTATTAAAATGTCAATAACACTTAAAATATTTTACACTTCATTCTAACGTATTTTGTTATGGAATAATGTAAAAAATACCTCTATATATTAATTTTTTCTGATACTTATGTTTCAATATTTTTATGCACTGCTGATAAAATAAAATTGAATTGTTTTTAGAAATAAATGCAATTGCAAATTCCATATCTACTTTAAAGTACAGATTGTATAAAATTAATAATATCTAGTGTAATAATAATTATTAACCCTCCCCGAACCAGGTGGAAAATCAACATTGTTCATGTATGGGTATATTTAAATATATATGTTACTTTTCATCATAAATATGCTATAATTTAGTTTAATAATTAGCGACAACGCACTCTCTATTTGCACGAAACCGGCAACAGGCGCGCGGTATTTTTTACGAAGTTATAGAAATTCATCTTGTGTGTGCGTGCTGGGGTCACACCCCACCTGATTCACGGATTAACAATTGTTTCGATAATTGATTTTTTTATAATTAACTGAAGATTTCTTACAAATTTCAAAAGTTTTAAATATTAAATTGATATAAATAATTTTTTCAATTAACAAATCATTATATATTTAGAAGTATGTATTACGTATGAAAGATGAGCCCCCATTTCGATGTGCCGTCTTGTGGAAAATTTGGAATTGCAACATGATCCATTTTTGGAATATTTATCCCACTGAATTCAGATTTGAAGTGCGATGTGATATCATTTATGATTCTTCGTGTAAACTCCAATCGGGGAGAATGCTCTACTGAATAACAGCCGCACCACAAAGTAACGTTTTCGTTAATTTTAAGGTCATAATAATCAGTCACAACTATCGCAATTTGTAAAGTAGACATTGGAGGAGTAATATGGAAGTTGGTGCGTAATGAATCACTATTACTTTCATAGGTCACTGACTTTGTCGGCATATTTGATAAAGCCGAATAATAGCGAGGATGTATTATTGAAATATTAAACGTGGCCTTGAAGTGCGGTTCATCCCAACAAGGGAACAATTGCCTCATTCCATTCGCTTGGATGTGTGGACCGAACAATAATCTACAACAATTTAATAAGTTATATTTGCTTTAAATAACATTAAATAATAATATACTTTTTACCATTTGATTTAATTTATATAACGACATCAAAAATTGTTATAAGAGAATGAATTTTGAGAAAATATGAGAAATAATTATATTAT